CGCGGCGGGGCGGGCCGGGCCGGGCCCCTCGGGGTGCTCTGTCCCGCGGGGGGAAACATGAGGGCCTGCGCCCTTCGGCTGCCCCCGCGGGCCTTGCCTGGGTTTGTTAACGGGTTAAGTGTTAACGGGTCAAGCCCCTTACAACTGCCGGAGAGTGACGTGTTGCGCCGCGCTTAATGCCGTCACGTTGGACTTGGTGTAACCCAAACCCTGGTGGGTTTTTTTTCCTCTTTCGTTTTAGCTCCTCTGCGTGCTGAAAAAATTCACCTTTCTGACAGAATGGTGGTTTATGAAGATAATTGCCACCTTATGTGATTTGTGGGGGTGATTACCAAAGGCGAGGCTGTCATTCACATTTCAGCGAACTAGGTAAGCGCAGATGTACTGGATTGCATCAGAGCAGGACCTCCCACTTAGGGCAGGATTTGTCTCCCATCACTGCGTGGTGAAAGCTTGGGCATCGTACAGCCGATCGACAAATGCAGCCTGAATATACATACCTTCAGCCCACTGTCCTGCTGTCAGCCTTCACGCAACGGCTCTCTGAAGCTGAGGGCTAGTTTCAGCTTCATCATCGACTTTTCAGGTCAGTTAGGTTCATATTTGTACATCAACCTCCGGTAGCAGGAGTCAGTTTAGCATTAGAAACTTAAGTTTTCCAGCTTCTCACAAGAGGGACTAGCCTACTTCTCAAGGTCTTACCACCAGGTCTGATATCCTGCATTTTGCACAAAATTCGTCAGACCTTAATTGCAGAAGGTACTTCTCGTATTAGGAGCGCGAGGTGAAAATTTGATGCTTCTTGTTATCATTGAGGGAAGATGAGTAGTGTTTGTCACAGTTCAGCTCAACATGAGGATAACTGAGCTAATTTTTCACTAACCTTAAGAAATACAGCACTAGGGAGAAAGTTAATATGTTATTTGAAGGCTGAATCAGTGGTTGGGAGAAAATCTCATAGGTTTATTAGTGTTGAGGAGCATGAATTCTGCCATGGGGCTATGTTGCATGATACACACTGGTCAGGAAATGGATGTAACTGTGTTATTTTGAGTAGCGGTGGATTTGCATGTCTAAGCTTCATTTCTCAGCAGATGTGGATAGTGTGTTTTGTCATAATAATTACAGAATTTTGAGGGTGGGGTTTTTTTGTAACTACAAGGTAGGGACACATGAAATCATGCATTTGTGTTTGACTTTCCCCTGTATCATAGGAGAGAAAATTGCCAATTTTGAATGGTGAGTCCATTTGTTTAAAAAAAAACCAACAAAACACACCAACCAAAGACCATTTAAGGTATAAAAATACAAGATGTCCTCATCACTAAAAAAGAAATAGCCTTCCACCAAAGGGGGAGATGAAATAGCAAGTTCTTTAAGTCATCTCCCAGGAGACAGATTTTCCCAAGCTCTTCATGTGATCATCCTGCTGAGTCAAAACCACTGATGTCCAAACATGTTGGTGACAAAATTTCTTTCTGGCAAGTAAAATAAAAATAATTACTCCCCTTATTTTTGGTGGACAGAAGAGAGGACAATGAAGTAGGAATTTGCCAGTAAACTCGGAAGGCTAGTCTGCAGTTAAACCTAGTCTGTAGGTGTAAATTGTATGTGCTCTGAATAGATGTGTTGTGATAGGTATAGTTGATACAGGAACTGAAGTTAACGTGAAAAGACCTGACACACTGGGCTGCTGAGAATCCAAGAGTGTTTGGACTGCGAGGACAGTGACAGATCTCAGTTTAAAGTAAGGGTCATCAGCCTTCTCCCAGGTTCAGATATCCTCCCAGCTGTGTTTCTGCAAAAATATGTCCTGATCTAACTAGGAAGTTTAAAAAGAGTAGAGAATTATGGGAGTTGTCCTTTGCTTACCTTCTTTTTAAATGTTATCTTGTGGGAAGTGCTGATGTAGGGAATATATTTTGCACCCAATTAATTTACAGTGGAGCCAACAGCATCAAAATGAAACTGAGGGTTCTGCTAGCACTGCTGGGAAATGCTGATTGCTGTCTATAATTTCACTTTTAATTCCCAGAGAAGAAACTAATTGCAAGAGAAGGAAGGGAGTGGAGGAAATTCACAGGTCAGGAGACTGACAAGGCCTGTAGAAGTAATATGTCTGACTCCCGTAAGAGAAAAAACATTCTGACTTGATGTAGGCACTAAACTATCAAAACACAGGCAGGCTTAGACATACCATGGGCAGAAATGTAGGTGTCAAGGAACCTTTACTGTGGAAAACTTGGAGGGGGATTCAGAGAATCTACAATTTGGGCTTTGGGGCCCACAAGGGTATTTAAATACTTAAGCTCACCTTGTGGATCCAGCTTGTTAGAGGTTTGAACACTTCTGGGTATAGTCAGTTTCATTTTTGACTTAATTGCAACTGGGAGGTGGTTGTAAGAACCATGGGTTGGTAAGTGGTTATGCTGGGCAGAACAAAAAGATGCACCGCCTTCTTTTTTTACTTCTTGCCCCTCTTCCTCTGTTTCACAGTTTGTTAGCAATGCTCTGTACTGATCTGCAGGTGTTCAGAGAGGCAATGAATTTTCCCAGAAAAAAGTTAATATCATAGAATCATAGAATCACTTTGGTTGGAAAAGACCTTTGAGATCATCGAGTCCAACCTTTAACCTAACCCTGACATTCCACCACTAAACCATGTCCCTAAGCACCTCATCTATTCTTCTTTTAAATACCTCCAGGGAGGAGGACTCTACCACCTCTCTGGGCAGCCCATTCCAGAGCCTGACAACCCTTTCGCTGAAGAAGTTTTTCCTAATGTCTAGCCTAAACCTGCCCTGGCGCAGCTTCAAACCATTCCTCCTTGTCCTATCATCTGTTACCAGGGAGAAGAGGCCGACCCCCACCTCCCTACAGCCTCCTGTCAGGCAACTGTAGAGGGCGATCAGGTCTCCCCTCAGCCTCCTCTTCTCCAGACTAAAGAACCCCAGTTCCCTCAGCTGCTCCTCGTATGACTTGTGTTCCAGACCCCTCACCAGCTTGGTTGCTCTCCTCTGGACATGTTCCAGCAACGCAACATCCTTCTTGTAGTGAGGGGCCCAAAACAGAACACAGTATTCAAGGTGCGGCCTCACCAGCGCCGAGTGCAGGGGCATGGTCACTTCTCTACTCCTACTGGTCACACTATTTCTGATACAGGCCAGGATATGCCATTGGCCTTCTTGGCCACCTGGGCACACTGCTGGCTCATATTCAGTCAGCTGTCAACCAGGCCACACAGGTCCTTTTCCGCCAGGCAGCTTTCCAGCCACTCTTCTCCAAGCCTGTAGCGCTGCATGGGGTTGTTGTGACCAAAGTGCAGGACCCAGCACTTGGCCTTGTTGAACCTCATACAGTTGGTCTCGGTCCATCGATCCAGCCTGTCCAGGTCTCTCTGCAGAGCCCTCCTCCCCTCAAGCAGATCAACACTGCCACCCAGTTTGGTGTCATCTGCAAATTTACTGAGGGCACACTCAACCCCTCATCCAGGTCATTGATAAAGATATTAAACTTAGAAATAATTATACATATGTTAATGTGTGTTTATGCTTTACTACATTACTTTGTAGTATTTGGATTACTTTCTATGACTAGAAGTTTAAAGGTTGCGAGATAGCAAGCATTACTGCATCACGTGCTCTTTCTTGGAAAGAGGTAAGATTGCTGTCTTAAGTTTGCAAGAAAGTACATGAGATTTTAAAGCAGGCAAAGTATTACTGATCGATAGCAAAGGTCAACAGGGGAGAATGGAGCCCTCATTTCTGATTGCAATTCTTTTACTTTGAGATACAGAGCTCAGAGCTAGTCACTGAAATCTTAATGTTTCTCAGGAACTCAAGCGCTGTCCTACCTGTACAAAGTAATGATCTCATTTGTCTCTCCAATCATAAAGCAGAAATAATAGTATTTTTCACTCCTTACTAATGTTGTGTGGCTAGTTAACACAGTTTGTATACTTTTTGAAGAGGAATGCAATACCGTTCTGTAAACAAAAATGAAACTTCCTGGGCCCTCCCTTATTGTGTCTATTCTGTTGCGTTTATCTTTGATAGTATTAATATGAAGATCTTCCAAAACTGTGTGGAAAGATCTAATGTTAAAATGGGTATCATAGCAAGGTTGGGTGTTGATTTGGAATATTGGCTACTCTCAGTTAATAAGTAAATAACGCTCAACATAACCAGAATCAAAAGCAGTGGTGAGTACAGGACATATTAAAATTGAGTCACAAACAGAAATTGGTATTGATTTGACTATTTGTAATTGCTTTAGGGCAAATGAAGAGAAAATGGGAAGAAAGACTGAAGAAAGTGGAAGAACTAGCGTCTCACTATGAGAGAAACCCTCTTCCTCCAGTTTATAGACCAAAACTGTCCAAACCCTTTCTGCCATCCTCTGTTTGGAAAATATTTTGTCGGCAAGCTGAAGCTTTCAATTACGTAAAGACTTGCAAAGAGGTAAATTATGTTAGGTGAATGTCTCTACTCTTTAGGCACTTTCAAGGTTGAACTTCACTTGAAAGCTTGGTTGGCAGTAAAGTCTTTATCAGATTGCAAGGTGGTTTTTTTCTTTCTTTTTTTTTTTCTTCTTAATCCTGAAAAAGCAAGTTGGAATTTTTTTTTTTTTTTTGGTTATCTTTGAGGAGATCATGCTACACTGGAGGTACTCTAAGAAATACTAGTTCTAACATATAAATTAATGTGTGGTGTTAACCTCTAACAGTAAAAGTGCTTTTTTGGTAGCATTGTAGTGATAGATTTGTTCCTTCTGAAGATAAGAAGTTGTCAAGGTTGGCAGAAGAATGGGAAGATAGTGAGAGTTGAATAGGAAGAAAGAGGAGGAAAAAACTCAGGAAGAAAGAGATAAAGGGGAGGCAGAGACAAAATAAAAAAAATCAACTCTCCAGTGGCATCAGAGTAGCAAGTTCTGATGATAAAAAGTGATGAGCCAAATAAATGTAATGCAAAATGCATTCTCTGTTTTCAGTTCTCTGTATCTAGTACTTTTCAAATTGACTGCTGCTTTTAAAGAAAGTACCAGGGTTTCTTCCCATTGTTTTAGGTATTTAAGTAATTCTGACAGTCTGGTTTCCAAAATGCACTCTCACTGGCTTGGCATTGGGTTTTTTTATTTGTTTTCAGATTTCCATTTTTGGATTTAGATAATACAGAGTATAAAGAATATTTGCTATGAAGCCACATGCTGCTGTCATATCCATAAGACTGTTCCTTTCAGGACATTGTCCCTCCTCCCGTTAGATGTACTTGCCACTGATGAGACAAAAGAAGACTTTACAGAGAAAACCGAGCTTACGTTACTGCACAGCAAAGAAAAGCTTCAAATTTTTACTCATGTAACTGAAAGCAGAATGATGTTCTTAATTAAAAACAGATGCTACATGGGTTGAAAAAGTTTGTGATCTACTTTTCTAATATTTACTAACCTTTGACAGAAGAAATGAACATCACATAGGAACTTCTGAAGACTTTAACTGGTTCTTTGAATAAAAAAAACTTCCATGTTTTTATTTTAAAAGGATGTTCATGTATTTGCCTTGGAAAAGAACACACACAGTGGACAGAGATTTTACCTCGTGACCACATATAAAGAGCTTTGGTTTTATTACACGTGAGTATTTGAAAAGGTACCCTATTTGTTCCTATAAGATAGTAGTGTACTGGAGATACTATAATCCAATAATAGCTGTTACTGGATAGCTATCCCCAGTAGCCATCCGCTGCTCTAACTAGCCCAGAGCTGTAATGGGTGGCCTGAGGTTTCATCTTGGCCATGGGGAAAATCTTCATAAGGACAAACCAATCTATTCTGTAGTGGGCTTCTACTTCCTTTCAAGTTGCAGACTGCTGTTATTTTCTGTGAATTAAGGACCCCGTCTACTGAACTTTAATAGCAGTAGGTGTGCTTCTGCTGTCAGCTTTCCTCAGGGGATCATTCCAATACGTGACACAAACATATTTCTGTGATTAGTCATATATCAGTTTAAATAAGCATTAGTATAAATGTTCTGTTACCAGTTAATGGTTTTGAATTTGTGTGATGTAGTTTCAAGAACTGACAATTTGGTAATGCGCTGGTTTTCTCTCAATTTTTTGTTTTACAATAAAACATTTGGTTATGAAGTAAAAGAAATCGAAGAGTCAATTTTTATATAAAAAGTGAACTTTATTTTTTCTCAATTTGAAAATGAGATTAATTTTTAATTTAGTTGGAAGAAAGTCTGTGTAATCTCATTTTTAGTGCTTAAGACATATGGGTGATAACTTCATAAGTTTTCTACTGTAGTTTCCATCATTCCTTAAATTCTCAACAGCACTTCTGTTGGCAGTATTTATTGTAAGACTTGGGTGGGGATGGGGAGGAGAATACTTTACAAACTTAAATTCTAGGCCAGACAAATATCTTTCTTGATATTTGACGCTGAAGTTAGTTACAAATTTTTCGAAGCATTATAGGGCTGCTCCTTTTTTTAATATGGGTGGTTGTTTGAAAAATAAAAGAATATTTAGGACTTGTGGGATCCTTGTTTGCATTTAAGTATGAATAATGTTTGTTGTGAGAGGTCATGATTTTTGTTTTTCCTTAGGAAAGGTTATAAAACAAGTCTTATGCATTGCTATGAAGTAATTCCTGAAAAAGATGCTTGCAAACTTTATTTTGATTTGGAGTTCTACAAACCAGCAAATCCTGATGCAGATGGCAAGAGTATGGTTGCGAAGTTAATTGAGGTAAACTGAAGCAAAGTCATGTTGTAGATTAAGACGAATTCGTTGTTTATTTAATATGAAACCGAAGTATTTACCACTTTATCTTGACTATTCTGTAGTAAAATGAAAAAGAATTGTAGACCTAGAGGTTATTTCTAATGAAGTAAAAAGTACTGTTTTATTTAAAGCAAAGGTTCCCTCCTTTAAATGAAAGGAAAAAATAGATAACAGTGGTTGCTGAAATGTTTGTATTCGTTGTAGGTTTACTGATATGATAAGTTGGCTTTTGCAGGTTGCTTTATGTGTTCTGCCACTTCAAAGCTGTAAAGCTGAAGGAATGTTTAGGTATTCTTTAGAGTAGCATCAATAAAAGTTCCATTCGGATATTCCCCAGTTCGTTTCCTTTGCCAGCTGGTGCAATCCCTCCTGATTTTAGGTATCTTCAGATAGCAGTTTATTATAGTTCAGTTAAGTGATGTAGAGAATATCAGGTGACTGCACTTACCAATTTGGTACCTAAAGTTAATTATCTTTGCCAATTATCAATTTCATTAAATAATGCACATTTCCGTTCTATTGCAAATTTGGTTGGAAATTGAGCTCTACTGCAAATTCAATATGACAGAGGTGGAAAATAAAGCAGGTTTTTAGAAGAATATCTTCCAATAAAACCTCTTAGCGAGTGGCCATGTATTTGTGAGACTTCTGATGCTTACATGTCCCTACTTAGAAAGGAAAGAAAGAAAAAGATGATTGAGGTTGTTGCTTCATAAAGAACCCTTTATTGATACAGAATCCAGAGGGGTTTACTCCATTGCGGATCGATTCTGAAGTCTAGACATTCCTTAGGTTAAGAAGAGAACTTCAGATTTACCAAGGGAGGAAACTGAGATGCTAAAATCCTAAGCTTCCAGACCCTTAGGTTGTGAGTCCCAGTCCTAAACATGAGTAATTACAAGCTTAGCTTATAGAACCTTTTTAGGTCTGTTTCGGAGCCAGACATCTTACGTTTTCTGCTTAGTTAGAGTTCATTGGGTCATAGCAATGAATTAGCTAAATCATCAGTGAATTAGCATACCAAGCCTTTATATCATGGTAGCCTCTCTCTTCCATTCTAGGTAAGCCTGCATTACAAACATTGTCAGTGTGGGTGTGTGTCGCGGATGGAGTGAGAGGGAGGCAAAAATAATGTGGTTTATTGGTGTAAAACAGTGAGTTAACAAAGTTCAGTGGTAACTGCGACAATAGTTTGAGATTCGATGGCAAGGTACACTTTGTTATTTACTGCACAGAGGACAGGGTCAGACAAGACTGTCAGGGAGACCCTCCCGTTGAGTCACGAGGTTCGGAAAAGATCCCCTTGCTTTCTAAACTCCCTCAGAGAGGAGTCTAGGTGCGGCTGGATCCAATCCTAGTCCCAGACTTGGTCAACGGTTTATGTCTAAAGGATTATATATGCGCACTTAATCCTTTATGTCACTTAGCTAAGATTTCCAAGTTAGCATGCTGTTAGTCACTTACCGAGAATCTGTCGTGGTAAGGAATCTCTCAACCTCGAGGAGTAACCTTGAGAGGCGTCCCTGCTCATGGGGAGATCCTGGCGTGCAGCCCGCTGCCGGGCGGGAGGGCTCAAAGGGCTCTTGGGCTGCTCACTATTTATGGGGGTAAGATGATTGGCTCATAGTCATATTTGCATCCTGACCGCTGTGCTTAGGTGGGCACATTCCACAACAGCCCTTGGCTATTGTGTTGTTATCTGTCTCCCCCCCACATCCAGTGGGTGCATCCTTCAGGACCAGACACAGACCAGATGTATGTATCGCCACAGCCACAGGTGGTTATCACTGGAAAGAGGTCAAAGGAGGGGGAGTCAGAGACGAGGGGGGAGCACACCGCCACAGTGTGAACTGCTTTGTGGTGGGGAAAAAACAGAAGATAAAGCCACACTAAATTAGACCTTGACCTGAAAAACTGAAAATTTGCTCAGCTTATCACTGTTAATACATTCAGTGACTTGCTTATTTCAGGAAATAGTATCTATGTCAAAGTTGGTTAAACTTTCCTATGTTATGAGTTGGAATTAAATGAATTGTATGCTCAAAAGGGAAAAAAAACTTGTAAAAAAGATGTAGAATCTGCATTTGTGTTAGGTTTTATAGATACCACTATTAATAAAGCTAGAAAAAATAGCCTAATGAATGTTTATCATTTCAGCTTGTCAGCCAAAAATTAAAAGAACTTTATGATGTAAATTGTTCAGCCAAAGATGTCTTGAATTTAGATTCCAGTACTGATGAAAAATTTAGTCGACACTTAATATTTCTACCCCAGAAGGCTGTATTCAAGGATAATAGTCATGTTGGTAAGTTTATTCTTTCCTCTTATGCCTAGAAATAAAAAGTGAGGTTTTGACTTTGTATAGTGCCATCTCACATTTGAATATTTATTTTAATGGAATTATATGTAGAAACAAATATATATTCCCAGCAGAAATGACCACCTATTTGTATTTAATTAAGCCACATTATTTCTCAACTCATCTTCTACATCCTTTTTCTATAATTAGCATTCATGTTTGCTAAAATGTAACTTTTTTTGTGCCTGTATGTTTATTTATGAAACTGCTGGCAAGACTGGCTTTTGGCTTCAAAATTGTTTCGCAGTGTGACTATGACACCTTAATTTTAAGGTTAATGTCTGTCTTAACAATTACAGCTACAATTATTGGCTCTAAATACAGTTGGTTTGTGCTCAGCACAGGGTCAGAAAGGCAGGACAAAGATGGTTTCAAGCCACCTGTGCATAAGCATGATTAAGAGAAAGCTGAAAGCAATTTTAATTGTTGATGTACGTTGGGATGTCATGGGATATGGCAGCTCCAACACAAAGACTTCCCGGTTCAGGGTTGTCTTGACCCCATTTTTAAAATAAGTATAAGACGACCTCCTCACTTCACAGTATTTTGAACATACTTTTAAAATACTGTTTGTGAAGCGCTGAGGTGCTAGTGGTGAGCACTAAGAGAAATTAATATTGAAACCCAGAATTTCTTCTTCTTGTGTATATATATCCTGTATGGTGTGCAGTAAAGCAGGCTTATAGACATACGTTGGACAATGAGGGCACAATAGAGTATCAGCTGAGTTTTGCCTGAGTGAAGCGGGAACTGATGGAAAACAGCTTGCCCAGTGGTGGAATTAAAATCTGTATCAACGTACAAATGCAGAAGTTTGGGTTATTTAACACTGCACCTGCAGCTGTGGTTTTGTCATTTCTTAGTATTTGAGTGGTTGATTTTGTAACCTTTGTTCCTTATTGTGTTTGTTTCAAACAAACAAATAGGGTGAGGGAGAGGGAGCAGAAATGCTGCTATATATAGTGCCATATTAATAATCTCATGGGTTATTAGAAGGGATGAATTTTAGATTTGTGACGGTTAGCTCTACTGTTTTTGTTCAGAAGGAACTGTGACAACAGCAGCAGGTTTACATGTATCAGAGAGAAAGAAATTATATGCTCTGTTACTGGGTTTCCCCTGGCAGTAGAGTGAGTGGAAGGGTTGAGGATATTGGCTTCCTTGTTTTGGTCCCATCCAGGCTCCTGCTTTTATTCTGCTGTCTACTTGGTCACAATCTGTCTGACTGTCTTCATGCCCAGTCTTTCTTTTCCGTTCTCACCCTTGCATCTCTTTCTAGCTCTGCACCTCCCCTCATCCCAATCTTGAGTAAAGCTTATACTGTATTTCTTCTTTTTTTTTTTTTATACTTCCTGTGTTTTTTAAGTAGCTTCTTGCTGTGTGCACTGTATATGCCCTAGCAGGGGATGGTAGAGAACAGAGGGAAGATGGGCTTTTTGCTTTTAGTACGTAATGGCAGCGCAGTGATGCTGTCATTAATGACATGGTGCTGGCCTACTTTCTAGCCTAGTACAGCATTAGAGAAAATCTTACTTTCCTTTTGAATTGTCTAGTTATTTCATAGGGAGAACACATGTACTGTTGCATCAAAGCTCTATAGGGTTGACACGTGTTTTGTGTTGCTCTGAGGAATCACCTATGAAAAGTCTTGTCAGCATGAACAGCCGGAAGAGTAGAGCAAATGGTAAGGAGAGGCTGGATCCTGTAGGCCTGCATGCATGTACAAAATTTTTTTTCCCCCAAGTATTTTTAATATACATGCATGTTCCATGGCCTAAGCATCACTTCAAGCCAAAATTCAGATCCTTACTCCAACACAGAGGCCACAGGATTTCTCAGAACCACTTTTTCCAGCTTTTTTTTACATTAAAAACCCCTATTTCTCATTCTTAGGAGCAGTGAAATCTGTTTCCCTAAACCTTTTGAGGAGTAGCTCACATGGCAAGCTAAGCAGATTGTCAAAGTTATAATCAAACGCTTATAGTATTGGCTGCCAGCCCCAAGTGTGACGCTGAGCAGTTATTTCCTATGTGACACTGTGGTAACAGCTACAAACTCCACAGACTTAAATGGGATTACTGCAATTTTTAGTTCAAAAGTATGGTCTTTAATTCCTCGGCCACTGTAAAACTCTTAAGTAATACCTGGATGATAAATAATTTGGTATGACAGCAATTTTAGCCTGTGATCTTGATGACTAAATTACATTAGTCAGTTCTTTCAGTAGAAGCTTGAACTGTTTATTCTAGTCCATTAGTCATGTTCTGCATCTCCATCATGACATGACTTTGAAATGTTTACTCTCAGACTTAAAATATATTTAGAGATTGTGTATGTGTTCTGCCTTTGCCTTTTCAACAAAATGTTGAAGCTGCAGTAAAAAAATTTTTTTTTTTACAATTGAGATATGTAAAAGCCAGTGTTAGATTCATGCATGTTACCAATACTGTAACACTCTAGACTTTTCATTAATGCATTTTAGTAATGTGTTTGACAAACCTGGCTTTTAAAGTATATTAGTTTTGTACTTTGTGCAAAATATTCTGCTGCAGAAAATAATGAAAAATGTAGATAACTTCATAAAATAATTGCACAGCATCTATATGAAAATATATATATTCTTTGAGGCGATGGAAAGATTTTGTCTATTATTAAAAGTGTTAATATATTTTTCAGACACATTCAAGTGTTGTCATTTTTTAAAATTCATCATTGTGGTCTTCTGTCTAAGAAAAATTACTTTGAGTTAGTGGTATTTCTTAGAATCATAGAATGTTTTGGGTTGGAAGGGACCCCTAGAGGTCATCTAGTCCAACCCCCCTGCAGTGAGCAGGGACACCACTAACTAGATCAGGTTGCTCAGAGCCCCGTCCAACCTGGCCTTGAATGCTTCCAGGGATGGGGCCTCCACTACCTCTCTGGGCAACCTGTTCCAGTGTTTCACCACCCTCATTGTAAAGAATTTCTTCCTTATATCCAGTCTAAACCTACCTTGCTTCAGTTTAAAACCATTGTTTTAAATCCCTTGTCCTGTCACAGCTGGCCCTACTAAAAAGATTTTCCCCATCTTTCCTATAGGTCCCCTTTAAGTACTGAAAGGCCGCAATCAGGTCTCCCTGCAGCCTTCTCTTCTCCAGGCTGAACAACCCCAACTCTCTCAGCCTGTCCTCCTAAGAGAGGTGCTCCATTTTTACGTGGGATAAACTAGAATATGAACTTGGATGATATTGTTTCACAAGCGTTTTAAGTCAGGAGTCATGCACGAAGTGCATAGGCTTAAAATTAAATATGATTAAAAACTTTTAATATATGGTATTTGGAATTAGTTACTAGTTAGAATTAAAATGCAGGGACTGAGTTGATAGCTCATGTAAGAAAGCACAGGAGATCTTGTAGGCCCACAGAAAAGCTGTGGAGACCAATGAATTTACGTTGATCTACACACTTAACAAATCCCAAATATAAAAATACAAAATACAGATCAAAAGTGTGAAATGCAGGATTTGGTTCCCACATCTGACCAGTCAGAAGAAATGAGGAGAGAGAAAACAAAGGTGTATGTGAATGATAAAGTACTAACTCCCAAAATAATCTTTCACTGACAGAACCTTGCTATTCTGACACCAGAGCAATTGTTACTTAATTACACATGTAAAAGAGACATGGTCAACCAGGACTTTTAAAGATACTTTAACTTTTATGGTAATTGAAATAAACTTCATTTCTGAGATAGGTATATTTTCTCCCTAAACTGAAGATCTGAGTAACTATTGTTATAAACCTAAGGATTTCTGTGTGCATCTTTGAACGCACAGGGTTAAAATGCTGTCTATAACTATGAATAATTTTTATGCCTCGGTAGTCCTGTAATGAATTATGAGGATGGCAATACTGATGCTTGATACACTGAGTCATTCTGCTGGTATGTAGCATAGGAGGACCGGTATTTCATACTCTTCCAGGTTCCCCACTGAAGCTTCATCCAACAACTGCAGAATCCTCCTTGCCAGTATCTGTTCTGCTTCATAGGTCTTCTTCCACATACGTATTTATTCTGTTTTCTTCTTTCTCCGTGCAAGTAATTTGGTCATGGTTTTTATTTGTCCATCTTTGGTTACTATCTAGCAGAGCCTGGAGGTAGAGCAGGAGTTGAATTACAATACTGGGATTGTGAAAAGTCAGTACAAAATACTTTTACAGAAGTAATTTGTTGTTCAAGTAAGCCCTGGTCAAACTCTTACGTTAGTTAATACACCTGAAGCTGCAAGTAAACCTTTTTAATCATTCTGAAAGTGAAATTAGGGAAAGCAGTAGTGAGAGGGACAATCACAAGCTCTTTGGAATCCTAAATCTGAGCTTGTTAATGTCATTGCCTGCTGTCATTAACCACTGCAAAAATATTTAGCCTAATGATTAAAGACTACCTATGGTTGGGTAAAAAAAGTAAGTTGTGTAATAGCAAAGCTATATGAATGCTTTATTCACGTATTGAAGAGTTTCACTAAGTGGTGCTTGAAATATTAAATCAAACTACATTTTATAAAGGACTTTAACTACTTTACTTATTTTTTGGTATCACAGTCATTAACAAAGTGTTCCTATGTTAAGCATTTGACTAAGCCATACTACTAACAGCTTCGTTCATATGCAGAAATGTTCCTGCTAAGCTAGCGTGAAGACCCAAACTGAACTTGTTCAGGAAGCTTCTGACATTCTAGAGGAAAATTCAGGTTCACAGAAATTTCAGTGCGAAAGTCTTCCTCGTATTAATCATTAAGTCAAGATCATTTGTGCTCAAAGTATGGGATCAGCTTGAGATCTTGTCTGCCAGAAGCTTTAGTAACTGCAGCAGTACCAGGTGTTGTGATGGGTAGAAGAAATTCTTTTGAAAGATACAAAAGACATTTATTTCAATTTTGCACTTTATCTGGGACTTGGAATTTAGTTTGGGAAATTGTAGTGACGGCCTATGCATTTCTGTTTCGTTGTATTATCTTTATTTCTAATGAGGTGATTTCCAAGCCAACTTGCTTCTCAGTTCTCTGTTCTCAGCAGTACAATTGCAAAAGGGAAGATTGGGGCTAGATGATACAATTAATGTAAGCACAACTGTTTATTTTCTTGTGCTTTAAAAAAAAAAAATAATTCGGTGAAACTTCTTGCCAAGCGTGGGTTTCTTAGTTACTTAACCAGATCCATTTTGTGCACTGGGCTGGTCCAAAAGATTTTTTTTAAAAAATCCAGAAGGGGAACCCTCCCTCCCCCCAAACTCCAGCCACTTCCATCTTGGCTATTTTGAAAAACATTTTCGCAGGAACTGTTAAGTTCTTTCTTGACTCATAAATGACATTACCTGCTTTTGGTTGTTTTTTTTTTTTGTTTTTAAGGTCACTTTGTGAGAACCATTTTGCAGCCTGCCATAAGGTTAGTGGAGCGTAAAGCTGCTGTTGTGATTCCAGAAGAAGGAGCAGGACATGTTTTCCAGTGTTCTGCAGAAGCAGTTGGATTAGATTGTTCTCTTTCAAACCTCGCAGCCATCGAAGACTCTTCCAAAGGCTGGCCAGCCATTGCTTGCAAAACAAAGGATATGGAAACATCACACCAGGGAGAAAATTCAGAATTTTCCTTTCTAATAGTAAATGATAAAGAAGGAGACAAGCAACTTTTTGTGGATCTAGGTAAATAGAAGTGATTTTAAACCTCTTTGGGATGCAACAAAGGTTAAGAAATGAGATGTTCCTTAATCTTTGATTACAGACAGTAACAACAGTGTTCTTATTGTTGTCCCTATGGTCAGAATTTAAACCAAAACCAATACATGCTGAAACTATGATCATAAATGCTGTACTTTGAAGGAGCCTCAGATTCTTGGTCCATGGAACGTCTTATATTACATTTAATTATTTTGTTCTAAAGTTTGAAGAAATTCTTACCACACAAGACTCTCTAATTAATTTTGTTCCTAAGGACTTAGTGCTCCAATTTGGATTAAAAGAGGATAGGATATATTACATTTTTGTCATTTCAATTGAATTAGGAGGTGCTTAGTTATGGAACGAGTCTTACAGGTGTGGCCTTCTGTATTGTTCTACATGTATGAATTGAGCCTTCTTCCCCTGTTTGGAATGGCAGTTTTGAGGTTTTAATGACAGAATAATAGAAATTTGGGTTGTGCTTAGCATATTCATGGTATTAAAATGTTAAAAATTTCCAGGAGCACAACACCCATAGTCAAACTAAAGTTTGAAAGTTTCACCCTTCTCCATCCCCATATCTGGTTTCTCTGCTTTTTGCCCTGTCTCAGTGAAATGAAAATAGCTTAGCACACTTTTGTACAGCAGTGGTTTATGGGTCTGAGGATTGTTTATCATGTTTTTTGTCAGACTTCTCTGAAGAACCCCTCCTTCTTCAAATTCTTCTCATGGAATTCAGGATGACTTTTATGGCTGGCCTCTTCAGTATGTCTGATTTGTTGCAATGTAATCCCAAAGCTGGCCCTCTATTAGGCTTCTCCATTATTGATTCAGAAGAATTACTTTGCACCTACTGTTCAAAATTCCTTCAAGCACAGTCGTGAATGGAAATCAAAGAAAAACAGATTGTTTACTGTGTCATTTCACCTCTTAAGAATTTGGTATTAGTCCCCCAAAATTAACCCTCCTCAATATTTATATTATACACGTTACCTCAAAACCGGAAGGCTAAACTCAAAATAGCTGTAATACTGCGTTACATCATGAGGCTGCAGTGATAGAAAGGGATGTGACATTCTTGTACGAGATCTTTTAGTTCCTTTATCTTCATGAAAATGAAATGTAACCCACAAATAATGCACCCACTTCCTCAATACACTCTTAGACACATTAGGCAATGCTTACAATACCTGTTCTTTTGTTCCTGTTGTTTTTCTGAGACTGGAAATAAATTTTCCTGATCCATACTTCACAGCGTACTATGCACAAGTGGTGTCTGGTCCGCAAAAAACAGGAAGTTTGATGAATATGAAGTGCTTGCTGGTTAAAATAATGATGCAGCTTTTTATGCTGAGCTGTATTTCACAAAGTTAATGTGAAAGCACCATTTTTTTATACTGAAAGAAACTTTTAGGAATTACGTCAAAAGGATTAAGATTCCTGTGTAGAGGTGTTGTGTATCTTAATTCTTCTGTAACATAAAAACATACATGTGGGCATTATCTTGCTTTGCTGCGTTTCTTCTAAGGAAGGGGAGCTGAGGTCAGTAAGTTTTTGTCTGTTCCTTAGACCCTTGGCTGGGTCTATGGAAAATTGTTTAATTTACAAATACTAAGTACCTTAAATCCTAGCCAGCATTGTTATGTCAAGAAATACTTGTTTTCCTGTAGGAGTTTATACAAGGAATAGAAATTTCCGGATGTATAAATCATCAAAAGCAGGAAAAAACGTGATTCTGAAGATAGCAGAGGATAATAAGTTTGTCCCTAACTGTGAAGAGAATGTTTCCTTGGAAGAAGCATATTTTCTTTCCTCTTTAATCTGCAACATCAGGTAATAGTTTAATTCTGGTGGAATTGAAATATTTTAAAATACATTTCAGTGATTCTTTTCTCCTGCAGCAGTTATGAATAACTACTATCAGTGGGCAGTTATTCCATGAGCATTGTTACAGTGTAATTCAGGAGTTTCCAGTAGAATTCCTTGTTTTTGAAGAAAAAAAAATTCTTTGGACTCCCTTTTTTTAAAAAAAAAAACAAACCAAAAACCTACCTTCAAGTGTTTAAAGAACACAGAACGTGGTAGAGATGCTGAGTTGTGCCTCATTCCTCTATACACACTCAAAATGCTGAAATGTAACCATTGTCAAGTTTGGTTGGATTCTGTATAGTTCAGAAAGGAAAAATGACAGGTTTCCAGTCAATTAAATACAAAGGGTCTAAATATTTTCCGAAGTACAGTAAAAAAAAGAAAGGAGTTTTCTACATGTTTATTTGCATACCAGACTTCCTATTTGGTACAGATACCTCCGTAGGCTGCATACTGGCACATACAATATTCCAAGTTTTCTGTATCTAATCTAAACCTCTGATATATCTTGCCGTGCACTGACTGTATCTTAAGAAGATCCTAATCATTACTGCAGCAGGAACAAGGTTAAAATGGTACATCCATCTGTATGAGATGATGCATAATATTTTTATTACAATCTTGTATTTGTTATGACTTCATTTTTTATATCCTGAACTGTTCGTTGTTTTGAACTGACGGCAGCAGCCCTGTAGCATACCCTGTGTCGTGTATGCAGATCACAGGTGTCTGCTGAGTCTGTCATAAATACGGATGAGAAATTCTGGTGTGTTGAATTTAGTCTTCTGTGATCATGTGGCTTCCAGCTAGTAATATGGCAAGGGTGAGGAAAAGCAGTTCATTGCAGAAAGCAAAGCAAAAAAGGTTGAAAGGTTTCAAAGGTTATAATATACGCATAAATATTACATCTAGAGCAAATACTGCAGTGGACCAGGCTGCCTGTGGACCAGCAGTCTTTAAAGGGGATTTTTGCCAGGAAACACGTTTTGCTGTTCTGAAGGAGGAAACCCTGCCTTCTGCTAGTAAGTCAGAGGAAACTCTCAAAATGAGAAGGAAAGGGGCTGTAGGAATAGTGAGAGAGAGCCTACAGAATGACAGGATGGCTGAGGCTGGCAGGCAGCTCTGGAAGTCATCCAGTCCAACCCCTTGCCCCAGCAGGGCCACCTCCAGGCAGTGGCCCAGGACTATGTTATGTTACGGTATGTTAAACCATACTATATTACGCTGCAAGAATCACACCTTTTCCTTTGTATTCTCTTTTCTTCAGAGCGAAGGATGACCCAACAGTTCTGTCATCTGGCTTTTCAGAGGAGGAGAGAAAAACGTCTGCTTCTTTAAACAGTAAAACGACCAGAAGCAGTAGAGGTACCTCAAGCCTTTTCTACTGCATAGAAAAAAAAAAAAAAAAAAAAAAAAAAAAGAGTACTCTTAAATGAGCTATACTGTGACTTACGTGCCTGATAACCTCTAGGAGAGCTTTTCTTCAGCTAGCTTTCTGCAGGAGGCAGAGTACAGTTGTACTGAAGGGTGCTCTGCAGCACCTGAATGCCATTTACCCTCCTCTCCTGCTCCCATAGCTGTCATGCTTCATCCCAGTTACCTCTCTACCTGAGGCAGGGGCAGTTGAAAAGCTCCAGGAAATTAACACTGGATTTATCCCTGGTTTTATGTAACGATTTGGTGTGATTCATTGTCGTGGTTTAACCCGGCTGGCAACTCAGCACCACGCAGCCGCTCGCTTACTCCCCCCCCCCCCCCTCAGTGGGATGGGGGAGAGAATTGGGAAGAAAATAAAAGGTTAGAGCCGAGGGCTGAGATAAAGACAGTTTAATAAGAGAAAATAATAATAATAGTAATAATGAGAATGATAACAGAATATACAAAACGAATGATGCACAATGCAATTGCTTACCACCCGCCGACCGATGCCCAGCCTGTCCCAAGCAGTCCCCGAGCCATGATCACTCTCCCCGCGACCGACCAACTGACTGACTCCCCCCGAGCATGACGTTATGTGGTATGGAATAGCTCTTTGGTCAGTTTGGGTTAGCTGTCCTGGCTGTGCTGTACTCCCAGCTTGTTATGCACCTGGCTGAGCAGGAGAAGCTCAAAAAGTCCTTGAGTAGTCTGAGCACTACTTGGCAACAACTGAAAACATCAGTGTGTTATCAACATTCTTCTGGTACTAAATCCAAAGCACAGCACTATGCTAGCTACTATGAAGAAAATTAACTCTATCCCAGCCGAAACCAGGATATTCATGTACATTTTCTAGCTGCGGTCTACATATAATGTGTAACAATCACATCCTACAATGACAAAACCAGTAACGCTAGGTATCTGTGGTCTTTGTTTTAACAGATTCCATGGAAGGCTATCAGGATTCACCATATCCTGAAATTGATTATTTTGTTCGCTCTTTGGTTAATAAGGATGGAGTACAAGGAGGTAAAGACCACTTTACTATTTACAAATTAGTATTCTGCAGCAGTATTTTTAAATAATTAATTTTTTTTCCCCCAGGGATACGACAATGGAATTATTTCTCTCTGGAAGAAATACTTGTATATGATATTTCTGGTTACCGCTGGTGTGAAAATATTGGAAGACCTCACAAAAGCAACAACATAATGTATATTCTGTAACTATTCACTTTAAAACAGCTTTATTTATTTTCCTGCTCAGCTGTTATTCTATAAAAATGCTGAAAAACTTAGGATAGAATCAGCACCTGTTACAATTCTGCTCTCTTGCTCTGTGGGGATACTATGCTTTTTAAAAGAAAAACAACCTAACAACTTCCCCCCAATTTACTTTTATAACTGAACTTGTATTTCTAATATCTCTGCAAAGTAATCTTTGTGCTATTTAAAACACGTGCCTAAAGATGCTACATACAAGTCAGGGTATGCTAAAGCTATTAAGTGGTACTCTGCTTTGATGCAGAGTACCTTCCTAGCTTTTAGCTAGGAAGCTGAACAATCAGTAACAAGATAAAGAAAACAGAACACTTAAATTAATTTTACAGTGCATCTTAAATTACATCCTTAGGTTACTAAAATGACAAAGGTAACTCCTGCTGCCACTTCAGCCAAGATGAGTTTTGCTAGTGACTCTACATGGACTCAAACTTCTAATAGTTTTAGCAAAATAAGTGTTGAAAAGTCAGGTTTTTTAGATGACATTAGAATTGCAGCTTATCGTTAACAGAAATATTTTAACTTAAAATAATTGTACATAACATTTAAAATAACTGAGCGGTAAGGAATGTGGTTTTGAGAAATATAGGTATAATCCCCTCCCAGCCACTAGGCTAGATGAACTTGGTGTTTCTCAAGCAAGTTGCTTGAAGCTTGGTGTTTCTAAAGCACAGCTGAAAAAGCTGGGTTGTTTAATCAGTTGACAGGAAATAGTGATTTTTATCTGGCTTTTACAATGAAATCTGTAACAGCAGCAGCAACAAAATCTTATCTTACAGTTAGGTCCCATATACTAATGTTACTTTAATGACTTTTTCTTCCAAGTTTAATGTAGTGAAGTTAACTAAATTTCACTTTTGAATGTTAGTCTTAAAAGAAATACATTTTTAACTTAAGAAGCCTGAAATTTAAGTATGTCAGAGTATGAAAGCAATATCCATAGACAGGGACAAACAAAACCTGTTCATTTAGCGTCAGAGTTTCCTACTGTATGTATTCACTTCATTTATGTACTGTTACTAAAAACTAAAATTATTTCTTTCTTAGGATTCTGGTAGATCTAAAGAAGGAAGTCTGGTATCAAAAGTGTCATGATCCAGTCTGCAGAGAAAAAAACTTCAAATCACAAAGTATGCAGTCTGTGATTTCAAAGCAATTATACTTAATACTTTTGGGAATGTTAACTTTACTTAACGCCATCTATTTGATTTAGGTTTTCCATTACCACCTCGGATATGTCTCCCTTTTCTTTTCAGAGAGGTATGCCTTTTTTCTTATCGATACACCAAAGCTCTTGTGAGTGAAGCTGCCTCTGGAAGTCATTGAAAACAGACTGCATTAGTGGGGATTGAGCTCCACACAGTAGTTACACTGGTATAGAATAGCTCCCCAGAGCAGCTGTGCTGGTGTGGTAGCTCCATATATTCATTTTTAATTTTTCCAGCACCAGACCTAGCACAAAACCCCTCAGCACAGATAAAGTTAAGTTACTGGAATAGCCTAACTTCACCTGGGTGTGTATTCTGTTTTGGTCTGAACCACAGTTCCCAGTGCATGAACCACAAGACCCACTACAGGTGCAGAATGGAAAAAAAGGCCCAAATGAAGCTCTGCTGTGCGTGTTTGACTTCATCCTGGGCCAGCTGAAATAGTGCTCCTGGAAGGCTTGAGTCAGCCAGAGTCCAATTTAAGAGAGTGACCCTCAAATCTGAAGTTCACTTAACTCCATTTTAGTGTGGTAAAGCAGTTAAGTTTACCCACACAGGTAGAGTATTTAAACCGCCCTGATACTGCACCTAGATTCTAAGCCCTGAACATAGTATTTTTTTTCCACTGAGTAGGCATAAGAGTTGTCATCTTTGCAACTTTTAAATTTACACTTCACACTTCTAAATTTCATACTGCAGAATAGCACATTATGCTCTACTTGCTTAAGCAGATCATCAATAGCTATTAGTGTTATTTCATAGAAAGTGTAATTTTAAATGCGTTTTCAGATCCTGATAGTACCTTTAAACAGACGCTACAATTAGTTTTAACCTTTTTTAACCTTGTATTATTTTAAGAAGCTATATATACAACAGACTACTTGTAGTTTGCTAGAACAGCAAATTTCTATTCCTATTAATATAGGCTTCCACAGGGTAACGTGGCTATAAAGTAACCTGCTGGAAAAATCCATCTTGTTGGCCAGCTTTCTATAGTAGAACAGCAAATTTCTATTCCTATTAAAATAGGCTTCCACAGGGTAACATGGCTATAAAGTAACCTGCTGGAAAAAATCCATCTTGTTGGCCAGCTTTCTATAGTATCCATTATATGTGATGCTATGAGTTTCAGACTTCAGATCAGAGCAGTTAAAGGGATGAAGACCATTTTCATATGGAATAAATAGTATTCTTGTTTCTAAAAGGAAGAAGAGCATACACTAATGGATGAAAGGGGGAACGCAGAAGAAAAAGTAAAACCACAGTCGAATGCGTCAGACATGTCAAAAAGCTCAGTGTCTCTAGAAGAAAGCTTGCCTCAAGACTTCCTGTTGTCAGAGAGTGAGTGGGACAACGCAGGCGATGATGCCTGTTTCCTAGCAGCTGCTGAAGCTGTGGAACTAGCTGAAGCTGCAAACGATGGTCTGAATTATGCCATGGAAGAAATTCCTGATGAAGTTCTTTTGGAAGCTTTAAGGAAACAGGACACTTGCAATAAAGGCAGCAGCTAACCGCAGACTTGGCTAGCGAACAAACTGCTAGCAATGCAACCTGCTTTAACACAATGTGCGTAATGCGTGCCTTCTGTGAAAGATACTGCGATGATGTGGTTCAAAAATGCTCTTCTAGAGCTGTAAGACAAAGAACTGAGTAACAAACAAGTATCCCCACAACTGGATGATCTTCAACGAGCCCAGGGAGATCACAGAAGATAACACGGGGTCTGAAGAGGGCTGGACTAAAAATTCGTCACAAATGCTGCTGCAAGCTTAGCACTTTAACACTCACTGCTGTGAGGTTTCTATTTTGTTAACTGTCTGTCCAAGTTTTATTGACAAAGCCAAGTAAAATAGATTTCTTCGACTTCAAGAAAAGGGAGGAAATTATTTATTTCAAATACAAATTTAATAAAAAGATTTGTCTATCAACAGTTCAACCACTGCCTCTGTGTTCTCTTTTAAAAGTATGTATGTATTGCTTTCAAGATCACTTTACTTTAATAGCCCAAGGTGAAAAACCAACATTGTTAACAGAGCACAGAAGTTTTACTACTTTAACTGGAAGTGCTATTTCATTAATTGCGCTGACATTCTGAGTAAGTTTTCACACAGACTATTTGACAATAGAAAGATCCAATCTCCAATTAAGTCACTGACTTCTTCTAAACGTTGAAGCAAAATACAGCAACAATGATTAAACAAGCTCTAAGCACTGACCATTCTAATAATTGTTCCTAAGGAATGTCAAAAAGTGTATTAAAACCCACTTGAAGTTTCTTTGATAACTTCTGTCTTTGTACAGCCAGAGCCTCTTCCAGTTTCATATTAATATTCTGAAAGTGTCTTTCTGCTCCTAGAATTCTCCGCGACTCCACCAGAAGAGCAGGCAGGCTGGAAGTTTCATACTGTTGTGAAGGAAATAAAATTACAAGGTGGCATTTTTAACTCTTGGAAAAGTCACTTATATATCTGTATTTATTCTTCCTCTAGCTGAAATTTTTATGAAAAAAATGTTAGACCTGAGGACAACTATTACGCTTCTGTGTCCTTTGAATTCCATGTCACAGGCAGCAAGGTAGCAAAATGCTCTCTGAAGTACTTTAGTTTTTAACATGAGACCAAAATAATGAATGAGGTTCTGCAGTACAGTACTGCAATGATTCTCAAGTTGCTTCCACAAACACAGTTAACACAATTAATAAAATACTGCTGGTCAATATAAGTTAAACGTTAATAGAAATGCCCATCAGTCCAGGGGGAAAAAAAAAGGGGAGGGGCTGATCCAGAACCATTCAGAAACAAACATGTACTGATGCAAAACATCTACTTACTACCACTTTTTTGGGGGGGTTTTCTTCTCTATAATCCAAACAGTCTTGCTGTAGCTCCTTTAAACCAGTAAGTAATTGAGTTGCCTGCCTCAGGGAAGATTTCCTTTCCTGCATCTCAGCATATTCTCTTTGTAGTTGTATCAGTTGTGGTTCAGCTCTGAAAAAGATCAGGGCTTTGATGACCATATCTGCATATTTATTTCATGAGTAACTATGAACTTTTTTCCTCTGAAGAAGACTTAAGGGAAAGGTTGGTCAGAAATACGAAGCATAGGTTAGTATTACATACTGTTTAATCAGAGTAACTAGCATGTTATTTAAACAGGAGCACAGGGCCAAAGCCACAAAACCCCCCCAAACTTCTTTCCACGTCTCACTTTGGAACAGCCACTCTCAAACACTTAAGTTTTTCAAGTGAAGTTTAAGTACGCAGTGTTGCGCTTCTGCAGGCGCCTGTTGCAGGCTGCGGCGTTCAGCGCTTACGCTGAAGCGTACTCGGGATTACAAACCAGCGACGCCGCTGCCAAAGTAAACTGGAGGGCTCGATCCGTTAAATTAGCACTTCAAACTCTGGACACCAACGGTCATTTTAATTTAACAGCACAGCAGCAAAAAAGCTTCCTTAAGACGATCAAAGGTTTAAGACACAACAAATAAAAATGTGAAGACAGCTTGCAATCTGTGAGGGGGTTCGAACCCATACTGAGGGATGCCCTTAATTAGCTCTTTGAGTGAAGTTTGTCCACAGTGCTGCAAAGGAAACAAGACTCTCGTGGCCGTAGAGAAAGGGCTTTTAATCTGCCTTTGTGGATCCCAGCCACAAGTTCCCCACAGAATTAACAGCCTGTATGTCACAGGCAGCTTCAGCATAAGGCTTGTCACTAGCAACCAACTGGATTTGGGGAAGCCTAATGGTTCTTCCAAAGAACATAATTTGTGTTGTGTACCTAAGTGACACTTAAGATTAGTGCCAAGTTAGAGAAGGGGAATCGTGCGGCCACATGAGATGGAAGCAAACCGTGTACTCAGAGGCACCCCTGCCAGACTGCAGAGGCGAGATTCATTCTCTCACCTCAAAACCAAAAAGCTCTCTGTGTTACCTTTGTAAATTTATGATTCAGCACCTTTGAAGTTCCAACTGGTAGTGTTTTGCTTATGAACGCACTGTCTGAAATACCATCCCAGTAACTAGTAAGCTAAGAGAACTGGCAAGAGTGACTATTATTAGGCAGCTGAAACATGGAAAGGAGAGATTATCCTGAGCTTTTGGAAAAACAGAAAGCAATACAGAAGTAGAGTTTCATCAAAATAAAATGAAAGAACAAAAAAAAAAGTTACTTTCACTTCTGAGTTACAAAATACCAGACTCCTTAAGTTCTTCAGGCTATTATTGTGCGTCATTAGAAACATACCCAATTAGCTCTTCTCTGAGTTGCAACAGTCGCTGCCTTTTCTTTTTGATGTCTGTTATAACCTGAAACAAATAGCAAGGAAAGTCTTTGAAACGGTTTCTGTAACTTCAAAGGGAAACAACTCAAATTTCATTAGTTTTTTTTCTTTGAGGTGTTATGCTGCTGATTCTGGGCATGGGAGATTCCAAGATACCAGACCTTATGAACAGCCATATTTGTATTTTAATCACTTTAAAGCTCTTTAAAATGTCAAACTGTCATCTCCATCCAAATTTCTCTTTAAGGAACACTGGATTTACAAGCATACAAAAGGAGTTTGTGACATTTTGAACTCAGACATGACCAACTCCAGCATGTTTTTGTTTGCTTCTGTTTTAAAAATGCAGACTAATATGAATGTACGTTCAGCATGATTACCATAACTAAGGAACTAAGCATAATTAAGCTTTCTTTAATACAACATCCAACTTAAAAAAATCAAACTAATAAATTTAAATTTAGCAACTAACAAACATCTAAGAGGCAAAGTAAGGATAACTGAGTAGCTGCGAATGCTCGATGTGTATTAGCATTTTCATTTACATGCACAGTAGCTTACCACATCACCTCAAATAAACAAGACTGTAGCACATTACTTGCTACCTCCCAGAGTAAGCTGTCTGTGACTTGACTTGTTAAAAGCTATTTTGTCACCAAAAAGTTTGCGGAAGAGGTTAATCTGGGTGGAAGGCCTCTGGCAGATAGTGCCCAACCTGCTCTTAAATATCTCTGCTGTAGGGCATTCACCTCTCTCCTGAGGCAACCACTGCAATGTTTTTCTGCTCTTGCACTAGGTTCCTCCTCCTGCCGACACTCCCCTGTTGCATTTTCAGTCAATTACTACTCACTCTAAATGAACAGAGGGAGTGCCTTCCCCTGAAGAAAAATGTTGCATATATTTAGGGAATGCAGCTCCCTCAGAATTCTCTCCCTTAAACCAAGCAATCCAATTCTACCCCCACACATCACCATCCTTGCTGCTCTCCTAGATTTGATACTCATCTATGTTTCTTGAAGGTTAGCTCTCAATATTTAATTGGCTCACCAAAGGCCTCATCAGTGCTCATTAAAAAAAAAAAAAAAAAAAAAAAAAAAAGAGTAATTCACATGCATAGATATCTACACATCCTGGTGTGTATTCCTTCTTTTTACACCAGTATAGCAGTAGACGTGTGGAGTTTTGCGATCCGTCGCATTTACTCAGATCTTTTAAATTCTGTAATACGGTACACTTTTCGCCCACCTCTGTGTGCTGTAGAATCTAGTGACATATGTGTATTTACCTTAGCATTTTTTTTCTTCATATTCTGCAATTCCTGGACTTCTGCTATCTACAGAGGAAAAGAAGGATTACACATTGACTATGGATCTTGATTTCATCTCTAGCCTTCTAAAATCACGGTTGCAAGAAGTACTTTGGAAGAACATAAAAAGCTATTTAAAAAACCGACACTGGCCCAAAGGAAGATTGCAAGCAGATCAGTTGTGTCTCAGTTCTTTCCTCTCTCCTCACGTCAGAGGAAGACTCTTGCACTGAATTAGCCAGCTTGCACCAGTTAGTGCAAGTAATACTCCTTTTACCAACTAGTGTAATACTACCTAGCTTGATTTTTCTATAACTTTATATAATACATATAAATATAGTCATTTTAAAACTTGCCCATTCCAATGAATCACGTTGAACTATAGTTTTAGTACTTATCCATTGTACTTATCACAACTCCTACAAAGTTCTGAGTTTGTTGTCGTAATTAGTGAGAAGAAACTGTAGCCTTCCAAGCTAATATGCTTTTACAATTAGGTTCAAGCTGTTAATTAAAAAAAGACTAATTTCCCTGAACTATGTTAGAGGCGTTAGTCAGGCCTCTACACAAGAGTCACTGAGCAGAGTATAAAGATTAAATCATCAACCTTTTAAAACTCTAGTCCCCGAGCTTTTAAAACAGCGTTTGACATAACTGTTTGCTCATTCAAATTAGTTTTATGCAGCTCGCCAGTTTTACTACACAATGCTTTAGATACTGCAAATATTAATGTTTCCCTGTTCTCAAAAGCTGACAATTTTGCAAGGTACTTGCATGACAGCAGTGCTGTGTCTAAAGACAATTCTCATGAAAGCCACCACAGAGAATGCACACAACAAACTGTTTTCATATTTATCCTGACAAGAGATTAGAAAATTTAAAGCATCATAAAATAAATGTGTAAAGGACAATATAAAACCATAGGCATTCTGACTACAATGTGATATACAGCTCTACAATCACTGTCACAAAATTGATTTTATTTACGGTGTGCTTACAAGATCGGTGATTTGGTCCTTGAAAGCAGAACAGAAGCCATCCACAGCTTTTCTGCAAAGGTTTGATTCTATGCTTTGTCTGGAGAAGGCAGAGGGACAAAACACAACCCATTTGGTTTAGCAAGGGAGAAATCTCATCCAAAACCATTGCTCTGAGTAATGAATAAACTCCAAGGTTAAGGAGCCCAGGCAACTGTGGATCTTTCATGTATTAGCAATAGCTTAATTTCTGCATTGAAAAACATCAGCTGAGATGTATTGTTCTTACGTTTGGAAAAATAATCGAATTCCTGGAGACCACCTCAAGGTCACATATGAAAAATGTTTGTATCACAGAAACCTAATAACCACTAAAATAACATCAGAATGTAACCATGCAATACTGCGTTCCCCAAAGCACAGCCCATTAGCAAAACCACGGGTAATTTGTTTTTAAAACTCTGAGTATTCAGCCATAGGAAAGCAAAATATTTACCTGTAATTTGCTGCTATCTTCTCAAATTCAGCCAGAACAACATCCAGTTCTGTAATATCTCTGGGAGATCTCTTCAGCTCTTTGGTACACCAAACCTGTACAGAACATGAGCTTTCCGCTGAAACAACAGAATAAAGATAAGCATCGTACAATTCAGGTATGTGTGCTGAAATAATAGAAAAGTTACCGTGCCCACCATTAAAATAACAATCTAAAAGTTATGAATATTTTAATATGAAACTTGAGAAGAGGGAAATACGAATTATTTCATCTGCCTGTGGCTGAGCAACTGTGATAGACTTATCTGGGAACACTTTAGAATTTGGATGATCAATTATATACAGCTTATTCTTCATCAGTTCAAACAAGTCCAGGAGGAGGTTACTACACTAACTGATAAAACTAGACAGTGTGCTGTAGATAGAGCTGTTTGAGCTGCAAAAAAACATTAGCCTGAGTTTGGGCCACCTGCATTACTCAAAGAATCATGAGTTGTTATATCATATTTGTACACATTTTGTATTGATACCGTATGTGCTTCCAAAAAAGCTACATACAAATATTTGTCTTTAAACTTTGCAATAGTATTATTAGCTAATTCCACAAAACCTTACACCATGTTTCTTCACACACTCCCACACGTAAATCTAGTACTTGAATGTGACAGGGTACAGTTCAAAGGAAGCAAGATGACACCGAGAAACAGTTTCTCTACACCAAAAAATGCCACTGTCTTGAAGCTCCCTATCTCAAAGGTCCTTACACTAACAGCTGTGCCCATGCTGTAAGTCAGGGGCACTCCAAGCTCTGCCCCACAGAGGCTTCCAGGCCCAGGGACAGACTGAAGCGTCTTACAGGTCTGTACCCACGGGCCCAGGCCTCGCTCCAAAGGGAACTGGGCTAACGCACACCCGTGCTTTACTCCTTCAGGGCAGTAATAGGCAAGCCCAGGGATGCAAACCATGGGGGCGAGAGCTGTGCGGCACACCAGCTCCTCAATGTAACCATCGCTAGTGAGTGTCCAGACCAAAACCGAAACCCAAACCTCCCATTTCTAGAAGCAGTATGCTGCTACATATCAGAAATGAAAACCACTGAGTTACGGACAAAGCGCTCCTCTTGAATGAGGAAAAGCCACACGGGAGTTTTGAGAAATCAACTTTACCACAAGAATCTGATGTGTTCTTCTCTGAAGGCCGCTTCCTCTTCGCCTGGAACTGAGTAGTAGTCAGAGACTTCTGTGATATAAAAAGCAGATTAACTTCAAAAAACCCACTAGGTTTATGCATTGAAAATTCCGAGTGATGGCAACTAGGCAGAACACACAGAAGTATTTCAGTTCTTCACAACTGAACCGTCACTAATATTTACTTTGGGCTATTTCACCGGGATCCCAGCACGGTGGTCACACTGCCGAGGGGCAGCAGCTGCCTGGCTACACTGACCGACCAACATGTTGACCACTGGCTCTGCAGCAGGAGGAACATTTTAAGGAGCATGGCGCGCCTCAGTTCAGCATAGCCATTGCCCAGTATTATCAGTTCTCTGACCAAC